GATAGAATATATAATATTCTAAAATCAAAGATTTAAAAATGTTTATGCATTATTAGAACATAATGAATATTTGTAAATCGATAAAGTGATGGGTGTTACGTGGAGTGTCTATAATATTAACAATACGTCCAACATTAAGAATAATTCTTTGTAGCTTAGAAGAACAAGTTACTCTCAAAAGGCCAAACTTAGTAATGAAGGATTCCCTTCCAAGAATGTTATTAAGATTGAGATAAAAATTATGAAAGTATTTGCGGTCAAATGACTTTGAGAAACTCATTTTTTAATACATTTTGTGATTTATCATTTATTAATTCTAGAATAATGATAATAAAAGTGTAAAACAAAGTCTTTAAATTTAATTTATTTTATATTACTATTATAAATGATTATGATCTCACACTAAGGAGCATTGGTGATATGCTCAATTGTTATGTGCGAGAGATAGATTAATAAAGAGATATTTTGATCATCTAAGTTTATGAACAATCATACATGAATACAATAAATGAAGTAAAAAAAATGATAAGATCTCAATATATAATATAGAAATAGGACTATTGTTAGAAATAATAAAATTGAATTTCTCCCTTGCCACTTCAGCAGTTTTACAAATGTTTTTCCAAAAAATCGATGCATTAGACGAAGCAGGTTTCCAAGGAGAGGAATATCTAGCTAGCAACCACTTAGCAAGAGGGGAATATGAATTGTAACATCTCAAAATAATGCCACAGTTGTAAGCAAAATTTAAAGCTTGTAATGAACCAATACCCAAAAGAATACGGTTTACAGGAATTATTCCAAGATATAAGGAGAATTCTTCTACTTTTAGTATCCCCATGATATAAAAATTTAAAACATAACTTTCCTATAGACTTGCAAATAGACTTAGGTATGATCATGCTTCTAATTCAATAAGCCATAGTGTTTATAATGGTATTTTAATGTATTGTAGCCTACCAGCAAAGGAAAGAACCCTAGCCTTCCAACCAGATAATAACACAGTGATTTTCTCCATCAGAGGAGCAAAATCAGAAAGCTTTGTCCGACCCATGGATAAAGGAATGCCCAAGTAGTAAACTTAGTAGAGACATTATGAATTTGCAGCTTATTAGAAATGTCATTAGAACAAGAAACATTTGGTGAAATTATAATAGAACTTTTATGTAAGTTCAGCTGCAACCCAGTAAGGTTAGAAAACAATTAAGGGTTCTCATAAGCTTAACACAATTATTAGTATCTTCCTTCCCAAATACCAAAAGATCGTCAGCATATGTAAGGTGAGACAGTTGAAAGTTATTAATTTTGAAACCCTCAAAACCATTAGAGTCGGAGTTAGAATTTAATAGGCAAGATAGAGCATCCATAACAATGCAAAATAGATAGGGACTAAGAGGACAACCTTGTATTAGTTCGGTTGAAGAGGTAAAAAACCTTCCAGTTTCCATCCAGGCATATTGAGAAATGAATATCTTTGATACATGCTTTGATCCAGTTAATAAAAATAGTAGGGAAACCTTTATCAGTCATTCTAGAAAAACAAAAATTCCTGGATACTGTATCGAATGCTTTCCTGATATCATATTTAGCACAAAAAAGGTCCAGCTAATATTGCTTTTTGAAGAGATTGATGATTCCTTAGCCAAAATGGGATTGTCAGTAGCAACCCTATAGGGAATAAAAGCTGCTTGATTAATCTCTATGATATTAGGCATAATAATTTTCAAACGAGTAGCCAAGATTCTAGCAATAATTTTGTGAAAAATATTGCAGAGAACAATAGGCCGAAAGTCTTGTATATTTTTAGCATGAGATTTCTTTGGAACAAGTGCAATGGCAGTAGCCTTAGCACTGGTAGGTAAATAGCATTTACTGAAAAAAGATTTAATGGCCTTGCAAACTAAAGGACCGGTAATACTCCATTTTTTTTGTAAAAAATGAAATTAAACCCATCAGGATCAGATGCCGAGTTGGAGCAATCAGAATTAATAGCTAAATGAATTTCCTCATTAGTGACAGGCTTCACTAATGAATTAATAACAGCTTCAGGGATTATTTTGCCTTTAGGAATAATGCTAGTATCATTTAACTTAGGAGGTACATAATTATAAAGTTTTTTGAAATGTTGAATGATACCATGAATATTGTTATTCTCTCGATCAAAGGTATGTTGAGTAGCAACATTAAGAGAGCTACCATTAAAAGCTTTTATATTCCTAATTTTGGAATACATAAACTTCAAATCCTCCTCGCCACATTTTAACATTTTAATTTTCAATCTTTGAATAATCCAAGAAGCATGAAGAGAGTTGTAATAATTAATATCCGCATTGATCTTCTTAAGTTCTCCACATATATCTCTGTTAAGAGGATCATTATCAATCATCCTTTGACACCTATCTTGTATTGCAGCTAAGGAAGCACATTTGTTAGCAATTAGATTGGAAGTACTCCAATTTCTTACTTTTATCTCTCTTTTTAATAGCTTCAACTTCTTATAAAGGCTAACAATAGGATTTCCTAGATCAGGAGTTTGAAAAATATTCAATAAAATGCTCTAGAAATTTGAAATATGGCTCCAATAATTTTTATACATAAACCGCTTCTGAGATTTGTTATGCGAAACAACTCTGAGAATAAGTGGGGTTTGATCTGAGACAAGACTGCTCAACACATTATAGTGGGAGTTTGGATAATGATTAATCAAAGCCTCATTAACTAAAACCCTATCCAGTTTTAGATGAATTGGATTGTCTTGTCTTTGATTGAACCATGTATGAAAGTTGTTAGAAGAAGGAAGTTCAAACAGATTAATGTCAAAAATAAAGGAGTTAAACAAATTTAGCCTATCAACAGCTAGAATATTCCCACCTTTTTTCTCAGACTGAAATCTACAAGTATTAAAGTCACCAATCACCACCCATGGCAGAGCACCGTGAGGATTAACAGCTCCCAAATCAGCCCAAAGCTTAATTCTCTCTTCAAATGTATTAGAAGCATAAACAACAGAAAGAATCATAAGAGTATGAGACCCCATCATCAAATGACCATAAATCATTTGGGAGGAACAAAAAATAGGATTAAAAGAAACTTTATCTGAGTTCCATTTTATCCAAATACGCCCAGGAGAAGCCATCTCAAAATTATTATAACTAAGTTCATTCTCGAAAACCTTGTGTGTAGAGCAAAACCAAGGATCTATGAGATTAGAAGAAAGGATACGATTTTCAAGAATACAAATTAAGTCGAGCCTATGCGCATGAACCAAATTTCTACAACAAAATATTTTATCAGGGTTATTGAAACCCCTGATATTTCAAGCTGCCAAAGAAGGACAATTCATAGGGAACTAGGATTTTTTATAAGGGCTTAATGCCTTATTCTTACAATTATGAAAAGATAGACTTACCATATTTGTTTTATCATTTAAATTATAATTTTTAGGAATTCCAATTAAGCTTATTTTGCCTTAGATTCATTTAGGTTTTGTTCGGTAGAGCTTTTGATCATAGCTTTTCATTGCTTTCACGATTTTTTTGTGCTAGAAAGCTGTTATAGAAAGTAATAAAAAAAATTGTACCAAATGAAACTTTAATTTTGATCATATAACATATTATTTCAATAATAAATACAATAAAAATAGAGAGAAGATCTTATATTTAATTTCTTTTTTTTTTTGCCAAATAGAGTTTTGAGTGCTTTCAAATTTAAGAATTACACTTAATTTCGAGTAAATTCAAATCAAATTTATGAATTGTATTAGTCATGACAAGTAATGATTTATACATTAAAGAGCGATGTACAAAGAAAAAGATATTATCATGATGAAAAGCAACTTGCATTATAAATTTTTGCCGTCTAATTATGTCTATCTTGATAATGACAGTAATAGAAACAAAGCAACAATAATGATAAATGACAAATAGTTTGTAGAAAGCTTGCAAATGAAACTATTTAATAGAAAAGTGCAATGTTTTTCTTCCCTAAAAAACTATATAGATATTTCATAATCAAGATACCACATTTCATAGAAAAAAACACATTTTGCATTTAGCGTTACGCTTCTTGGACTCCTCAATTTTCTTCCTATACTCATTGATTTCCTCTTTGAGCTTCCGAATCGTCTCATCTTGCAGTGATAATCGGCTAAGCCTTTCAACCTCCCGCTGAGCAGCTCGCACTTCAGCTTCCAGCTGAGCAACTCGCTCTTCAGCTTCCAATTGAGCAGCTCGTTCTTTAGCCTGCATGTAACCAAAAATAAAGTCATTGTGTTAGGGCATAGATTGAATTGAGAAGAAGATCAATATAACAGATGAATTATTTACATGGGTTTATTAAGTTTCTAATTAAATGTTTGTTTAATTTAGTTTGTGATAATTTAAATATGATTTAAAATAGTCCCTCTGTTGAATTATTTTTGATCATATATGAGGAGCCAAGATACTATTTTAGATCAAATTTGAGTAGTCCAATGACTAATTTGAACTTATATATATATATATATATATATATATGAACACAAAATACAAAAGAGTTTTATTCAAGTTTAATCAACTGATGACTACTACATAAATCAACCTTATGGTTTCTACACCATTATTACCTTCTCTTCCTAACCCATCTCACATAGCCACTGGGTAACTCCTAATCGCAACAGTCAAGACCTCTACAAGACAATCTCCTTCCACATGTACATGGATAGCCCTACAACTATTAGTAAAGCATAGAAAAAAGAATGAATAGTTTACAACTACTTTCACATCACTTTATCTTTTATACCTTTCATGTGTAAGTTTATATTGTATACATAGGTTATTGCTACTTTAAATCCCTCCCATTCATAACATGTCTCTTGTCAAGTTATCTTTAAACTTTTGGTGTCAAAGTAAAGCTCCTTCCAAATGAAAGTGATACCCAACATGAAATATCAAACATTTACATCTACCACAGCTGCTAATTATAAAGGATGAACCAAGGAGAAGACATACCTTGAGTTCTGCAAAAATCTTATATGAGTATGATTTTCCACCATTGTCCACAACAACAGACTCAACAAGAGAGAGTAGCTCATTTACTTGTTCCTCTCTCTTGATCATATCATTGGTGGTATTATCAAAAACGATTACTCTATTCTTGCATAGTTGAATGATGTTCTGCAAGAAAATTATTGATGATGGAAAATAAATGTACCAGATGAAAGAGATAAAAATAAGTTTGAAGATTTAAGTTGACCATATTCATTTAACTAGTTCAACTTTTGAATAACAAGATTTATTGTAAACTATAGATAAGTATATTTCTAATAACAAAATAAACTAAGATAATGAACATGAAGGGTGAGTAACAAAATCTTCACATGATATAAACAAATTTAGTGATGAAATATCTAAAATCACTTAGCTTGCATCAAAATTCAACTTTTGAACTGCAAAGTTAATCATAAACAATAATAAAGGCATATTTCTAACCGCATTTAGTTTATGAAAATGTGCTTGTAACCAATGGAAAATTATGTTTCTTTAATGTGAATGGACTAATGAAGAGGCAAGGTACACTACAATTTGGAAATGTGGCTTGGGTCAATATATCTGATCATCATATTTAACTTTAACTACTTCAATTTTAAAAAGTGTTGCGCAAGCTAAATATACTAAAAGATAGGAATAGTTTGTGTGAACAATTGGAAATAAGAGTCATTAATTTGAATAGGTAACAATTGTTGCATGTATTAGTAAACAAAATACAAGTACATAATTAGTTTAAAAATAGAAAAAAAAAATCAAAGTAGCCTCTAACTATTTATGAGAGCCATTTTAATCCCATACTATCTAATGTATCAATTTTAGTTCCTTGATTACTCCAATTTGATATAAAATTAACCCTCAACTCCACGAATTGGATGCATAAATAATCCAACAGATATAACTTTAAATCACATTTGAGTAGTAAGAGGCTAAATTGAACATATTTATAATATGGGACTATATTGCCCCAAATTCAAAAACTATTTATATTTGTATTGCTTATTTTAAGAACTTGTTGCATTATGCTCATATACAACAACTTCTTTGTCACTTTAAGGTTCCAACGTGTTACATTACCATAAAGTAATGGCTTCGAAGACAATGGGTTAGAGTATGTTGCATAAATAATTAAGTAATGTATTGCTATTTTATGTAGCTTACCTTTGCTATTATAAATTGATAGATTAATATAACATATCACAATTATAGTGCACTTTTTGATTTTACACTTAACAAAGATTTTTGCCCTCAAGAAAGTCTACATACAACATGCTGAAGATGGCAATTAATATTATCAAGAAAAAATAAAAAATAAAAACCATCAAACATTTTGCAATCAATATTATCAAAAGAAAGATACAAACCCTTAAAGGTTCTGGAGAAAGGCTAATAAAGTCCTTTAAGCTTTTATGTTCAGATTCCAGGATGTCCCCATTAGTGAAAACTAAAATCATGTAGTCAACAATCTTATCCCCAAAAAGTGATTTCATACACTCAATGGCAGCCTCCTCTTCTATTGAAAAAGAAGATCTAAGGGAGAATACCATGAGTACTGCATGAATACCATCCTTGGCTAAATTAATGCCTTCGATTATCCCTTCACTTATTAGCTCAAAACTAAAAAAAGAACTGAACCCTACAAGAAAATCCATTGTCAAAATAAAGTTATTAACATACTACCCATATTATAATCCATACAAACAAAGAAAGGAATTTAAAATTTTTTTATAATATATTTCATAGGTTAGAATCATTAGCAAAAAAAGCAGTTAAATTGCTAAATACGGTGCTAATTGGCAAGTCAATGCATAACTTCAAATTACAATTTATGTAAATAGGCACAAGAAACATACAATCCTATTGAAATATACTTCATCCTCTAAATTTTATCCATCTTAAATAATGGTAGAGGGAAACCTATCAAGCTTGAACTAGATGTAAAAGGGACTGAGACCAAGCATAAGCCAGTCTCATAAGAGAAAAATCAAATATAAACCTACAAATTTTCATTTGCAATAGAATTTAATTAATTAAAAATTTCACTTCAATGCTTCTATGTGGAACATAATGGAGAAAAAAATAGTGTATGATATAATATATGGGAAAGCTTAACAAATGCAAGTTGTCTCCATAATATGTCAATTGCATTCTAAAATCTTAAATGACCACAACCTTATGATTGAAAGGTAAAACATGAGAAAAATACAAAGAAATATATCTCAACCTCTAAATAACCTTAGGTTAAGTCTACAATAGACAAAACTTAAGTAAAGCCCAAAATCATTGTAGGTTGAAAATGATTTTCAATTCCAACGAAGTTTGGGTTGATGGATCACTATAACATGACACTATGTCCTACACAATCAACTAAAGCAATTCAATGATCGAGGTAGGAGATGATTAAGAGCTTAAACCAATTTAATGGAGATTAAAGAGTGGAAGTTTATAGGAAAGATAGAGAGACAAAAGTAGCTTGGGAAAGCCCTTGACTTTGCCCAGTTGAGGGGGTATACATAATCATTTGGAAAAAGTGCATTTGGTATCTTGGTAGGGTGTATAGTGGATATAGAAGACTCTCGTCACCTTCGAGATATATTCTAGATAAAAATACTCCTCAATTGAGTGTATTCTGGCTATTCGATTGATAGAAGGATGAATAACTAAGACTATTAATATTAAAATGCATGTTAGACCATCATGCCCCTAATAATGATGCATGGATTGATGGACAATTTGAAATTAATAGGTTTTTGGATATCTAAACTAGATTATTGGATTAATATCATTGATTTAAATTGGATGATCAAATTAATGCTAATTGGACAAATTGCATCAAAGATAATTAAAGGTTGGCACAACCCTTGATATCATCAAATGGTGAATGAGCTAAAAGGACCATCAGCAAGTTAAACCCTTATTATATGAATGCAGTGGAACACGAACATTGACATCCTTGATTGACTAGTTAGAATAATAGAAATCTATTTTTAGAGTCATATCAGTTTTCCTCTTATATCTCGATTCTTTTGCAAAATTTCAAAAAATATGTTTTCTATCAAAAATATCATTGAACCACCAATTACATCTTTATTTCAAGGTAGGATGAACTTCTTTAACTAAAAAAATACTTCCAAGGTGAAATGCTAGGGATGAAATTTATGCATTTTTTCAAAATTGTTACTCAAAATATAACAAACACACATTGTTCTTTTCTATGCTTGGGTGAATTTTAAGCTACTAAAACAAAATCCTTGCTAAATTTGATGATTTTGAAACACAAAATAAATTAATAATAAAGCAATATCATTATTTTTTATCAACCCATGGAAAAACTTAATAACCATCTTAAAAGCTTTGGTTGCTCTTCAGATGAACCAAAGTTGATTTGTGGATTAAAGATGTATTATGCATGAGATTGAACCAAAAACTACAAGCTCAATCATCATAAATAACTTAAGCAACCTTTTTTTGGGGCTTTCTTCAAGTGCACAAGACCCAAGAGAGCATTTTGGATGACCCAAAACTCAAGCATATGAGGCCCATGCATTTTTTCATGGGCTTTGTGCAGCCATAAGGGATAGTATAAACATTTCTATCATGCAGTACTATGAGTGTGCCTCTTACAAGCAATTTCTTTACTAAGCATCACCTTGGAGAGGAGAAATTTTTTCATAGGCTGTTGAGTTTTTATTGACTCATAAGAGATAGTTGTGAATTACATTCTCTATGTAAGGCCTATTAATAAGGAAATTCTCATCATTTTATTGAGCTATTTTTCTACTTCAGGTGAAATGCTAGGGATGAATTTAGACTTTGAGCATTTGGCAATTATCCCCTACATATGGTATTTATTTAATTTGAAAGGGGCTAGAATTGAACTTGGTTGCAAAGATTTCAACCAGAACTCCCTCTACATGAATATATATCATGCAAGGTTCTACCAAGCTTGTTTGTTAAGTTTTAATTCAAGACCCAAGCTGCATGCTCTCTGTTCATTGCAAGGAAGAAGTGGTGATCTCCATCTATCAAATATTAAAATTTCAATAAACCACCTGGAGGCATTGTTTATTCAACAAGATGGCAATGGTGAGCTTAAGTGGTATCATTTTCCTTTTGTGTTGAGTAGTTTTCATATGTCCTATAAACTTGTGTGGGCCCTACATATTCGCTGGAGTTGGGTAGGCTCTATGCCAATTTAGTTGGGTGAAAAGATGCAGAGTATTCTTCATCCAAGTATTAAAAAAGATATTATTTAAAGTTTAAAAACTCAATGAAAAGTCAAATCCAAAATTTAAATATTTTTAATGATTAAAAAATACATCCAAATTATACTTCAAATTTTGTATTAGTTTTGCATACAATTTTCAAATATAATTGAGTGAATGAACATATTTTTTGGGAAAATTTTAGGGTGATAAAATTGAATTGTAACATGTATTTTTTGTTAGCTATTGGTCAAATTTTGCAATATACAACCCATGATCTAGCTCTATTGCATCTGTCTTCAACTATCAAAGATGACCATGGATACTTAAACATTTGGGCTTGCATGCACACCATGCAATCTATCCTGCAATAATTAGCTAAAAAACCTTATTTCAATTATTCCTAAAATATTGAATAAACATATTAGAGCATCTAATCACATGTTTATTATCATAACAAAAAACATATTGAATAAAGATAGTGAGACAAGAAGGGATAATTAGCTAATGATTGAGGAGAAAGGAAGGAGATGAGAGGATATTAACAATTCAATTTTTCTCAATAAAACCCTAAGACAACCTTATGTATAAGGTCTTTAATTCATACTACAAATAAGTTATCGTACAAATGCAAGTTCGAATATGTCTCCATTGCACATTCAACTAATATAAAAAACATAATAAAACACAAATAAAATAAATAGACGTATAGCTAAAAAATGGCTAAAATTCATTCAAATGATAAGCTCCATCATTTCACTCGAGTCAAGAGAAAGTCTTCTTCAAACAATTGGAATGTGATGGCTTTATGGTCATGGAAGCAATACCAGATCATATACCTCTTGAGGTACACATAAAAGTAGATAGGTTTTGAAATCCGACATAAGTGACCAACAACCATGAAAAACTAATTGAACCATTAATGACTAATCAAACTATATATAATATGAAGGCTTCCAAGCTAGGCATCGACTTATATCATAAATCAAATCTGCAATGTAGGCTAGTATTAAATGTGTTGATAAAGCAAAATGTTCACCACTACAACCAGTAAAGAGTTGTGACTCATTTCAATTCCTTTTGGTTGTCATGCTTAATTAACACAGACATATATATAAGTTCTATAACATCCTCCTAGCAAATTCTATCAAAAAAATTTATAATAAATGTTGCTTCATATTTTTTGCATTTTTTGTAGTATGTATATTTTAGAGTTCGCAATAACTACAACTAATAAATTTTTATCCTCTAACAAGTGAGGCTTACCTTCCTCACATTTTTTTTAATTTTCTTTAATTATGCTTATGTGAATGCATTAAATATTTTTAGTCTATTCATGATAATGTTATCCCACGCTATAAACTGAAAGGTACAATTGTGTAAAAAGAGTAGATCAATTTCAAAGAACATGAAAGCATATTTCGACATGTTAAATAAAACCAAACAATTTATGTATTCAAGTTATGATACAAAAACATATAATATTCTAAAATCAAAGATTTAAAAATGTATATGCATTATTTGAATTTAATGAATATTCAAAGATTAATAAAGTGATGAGCATTACCTGGAGTGTCTATAACATTAATAATACGGCCATCCTTTCGGATAATTCTTTCTATATCACAACAACAAGGTACTCTCGAACGGTAAAGCTTAGTTTCGAAGACTTCGCTTCCAAGAATGTTATTTCCAGTTGCACTCTTGCCTTGACCAACCTTCCCAACAATGACAATATTAATAGTATTTCTTGCGATATTCGATTTCCAATCGTTAATTGGATTGGCCTCCATTGTGTGCTACTAAACAAATTGAAAAAAAGACTTGTAAATTAATCAAAAGCTAAAAAGTTGAGGCTACAATCTTACATACTGAATGAATAAGCATACTTAATGAGATATCATTAGTTTTGTAAAATTTGAGACATTCAAGCAAGTTTAGATTTGGTTCTTGGTTAGAGAATATGTTGAATTGGGTTCAAGCTATAGAGATGACTCCATTAAAATGAATATGGGTGTACAAATTCTATCTACATTATATTGAGGCAAACAAGAAACCACTCAATTTCTCATTTAGTTGCTTGCAAATAAAAAAAATGATTTAGAACAAAATAATTTTCTTTTCTTTTATTATGATTATGCATGTAAAAATAAAATGATAACATTTTAGGGGGTTCTGAGAAGGATTTGTCATGCTAAAAATTAATGTTATTATCTAAGTGTCTAACTAATGAATCTTGCAGAAATAAGGATTTGCCTAGTTTCGGTGGCTTGAGTTACTTAGTTGGTAAAGCCTCGAGAATGGAGATGGGACAACTTGATGCTTATAATCACGAAGAAGATGTACAAAGCAAGTCTTTCGGAATGCCCAACTTTTACTACGAGAGGAGAGACAAACATGCAAATCTATGCTATTTTTATAGGCTTGAGCTTCCTTCCATGTCAAATTGTGGCCTTTTATTTTAATTAATTTTAATTATTCAAATCAAATCCTAACTTTCCATTTCAATTATTATATTTATAATTATTTTATTAATGTCAAATATACACTATTAATTACTAAATTATTGTTATAATGCATTCATTAATTGTCATATATTTATAATAAAGATTTGAGTTTTCTTCCATATTAAATCGTGGCCTTCCATTTCAATTAATTTTAATTATTCAAATCAAATCACAAGCTTTCATTTCAATTATTATAGTTATAATTATTTTATTAATGTCAAATATACTATGTTAATTACCTAATTATTATAATAATGAATTCATTAATTGTCATCCATATCAAATCAAGACGTTCCATTTTAATTAATTTTAATTATTCAAATAAAATTGCAATCATTCATTTCAATTATTATAATATAATTATAGTTATTCTATTAATGTGAAATATATTTTATTCATTAATAAATTAATGTATATTAATTTCTAAATTGCTGTAATAATGTATTTTTTAATTAATTTCCATATCCCATCTCCGGCATCTTTTTACGCTCAACTCGCCGGTTCTTCCCTCTTTGGCATCTTCAGAATCTTGTATAAAAAATACGCAACAAATAAGCAGTAAATACGCAGCATCCGAACGCTTTCGGATTACGTACAGAATAATCTCTCTTCAGACCTCTTAGCCTCGTAAGATCTCTTTTAGCATCCATAACGTTAGGGTTTCTCATTGCTCAACTCGCCGGCTGTTCAACTTCTAAATTTTCTTCTTCCCATCTGCACTCGGATTCTCATCTCCGTCACTTCGCATTCGAATTCTTCAACGACAGTAACCTCTTTCTTCCCCTTTCATCTCTGCTTTTCTTTTCTGCCTTTAACTATCAAAAGGTGAAATGACCAACTCACCCAAATACACAACCATGATTCGTTCAAATTTTGGCATTCCCGTCCGTGTCATTATCATTCTCACTTCTCAAACCATTCGTATACCAGTATACCTAACATTCACTGTATACCTAATATTGAAAATGCCTTTATGCATCTTCTTTAATTGAAATATTTACTTATCTGAATTTGAATCTATATTGAATGATATTTTATTTTGATTTTTATCGCATTTGAATTAAATGATTGTATTTGAATATCCACTTGAATATATGCATCGGATCATAAAATGCATGTAAGATACATAAGGCTGATCCTGATTGGATTTCTTGGAACATAATTGGTGGAAGAATTTAGATAGGGAAAATGCCTCTATCCTTAATAATCAGTTTATTAAATTCTTTGTTGCAAAAATAATTTATGGGGTGATTGATAAAGGATACAATGTGACAAAAAACATCGCCGTGGAAATAATTGTTGTAGTGACAATATGTTGTCTGCTACATAATGTCATTACTGAGGTTCTTAATATTAATGGTGCTGGTTCTTGCATTTGATTTATTGTTTTCGTAGTAGATGAAGCCTTTCAAGCACATTCATGGCCTGTGAAAATTCTGAAATGGCATAATAGGTCTGGTTGAAGTGTGTAAAGTATAAATGTAGTTGCTACAAAAAATAGGCCTCACAATTCACATGCATGCCCTTGCTCAAATTGATTGTTGATTAAATTAGGAAACAAGTTATCTATTGCACTTCTCCGATCCGTATCATACGCAAAATCACATGCTTTTTATTTTAGAGCAGGATTGTGTTTTTCTTATGTAAATTTTCCTTTATACTATTTCTCGAGGCATAAAAAAGTTTTGATTGATTGATGTATATATCTTATCCCATTTTCTTGTTCGCTCCTCTCTTTCACTCCATCTTTTTTTTTTTTCTAATTTTGATTGATATGTTGGTGACAGTCTTTCATTCATGCTTGCCTTTTGCTTGAATGCAAATGTTTTTGTTACACTACTTTTTTGTAAGAAGGTGGTGCTTGGTGCAATTGTTAGGCGTTTAGAGCAATTTTTGTGCCATTACCAAATCCATCTTTATCATGAATAGTTGGTTTTAAGCTGTTTCTAGAAAACATTTAAAGATCGTCTACTTTCTATACATTTTTTGTTATCTTAACACAAAAAAATTACTTCCACAATGAATCTACCTAGCATGAAACCAAATTAACTTTTTGATATAAACATAATTTTTCCAAATTATATGTTTCTTTGCTCACTCCTATAACTTCATTATATAGCTTGTAATTCATGCATCGTCATTCAAAAGAATTAATGCCAAGCTCATTAAATTAAATGAAAACATGTAAATTCAAAACCAAATAAGTGCAACATGTGCACATAAAAAATATATGCTGAAGATGATAAAATGTCTAGTTCTCTTCGATTCACAATGTTCCTAGGTATAAAATAAAAGACAGGAGTGCAAGATCAGCAAATAAAATAAAAAATAAAGAACACTGAAGAGTGTGAATGCTCTTGATTTAATTTTATATCGCTAGTTTGTGTTGGTGGTAAGAACATAAATCAGGTGACTTTAGCCAGAACAATGTCAATAGCTCATCATGTTACAGTTAGTTGTTGTATACAATGACAAAAAAATACACATTTTTTATTAACTTTTACTCTTACTCCTACAGTCTAACACGCGAACTTCTACTAGAGACGTTATTAGAGAAACCATTCTTTCTTTATTTTAATTAATATAGGTAGACAAACTAAACTGACTTAATAGAAATGCACGTAAGCAAAACACAAGCAATCTAACAGAATAAAAAATGAGACTGTCAAGCTAAATCTATAAAAAAATGAAGACAAACATTTATATTAATAATGAACTCGAAGCCAATTAGCCAAATGGTTAAATTACGCAAATGACCAAAGACTAATAGCAAGATTCTATTAAGTCAGTTATCTTTGATTTAAAAAAGCCAGTCGTGATGACAAAATAAATCAACAAAACTTGCAAGAATTTTATATAGAAGCAAAGAAAAACAATTGGACCTAAAACAACCAGCTTGTAGGCAAAAAAAAAAAGGAAATATTTAGACAAAACAAAAAGAAAGGGTAGAAAATAACAAGCGCATGAAGCAGAGTGATTGAAAGAGCTATGAAAAAACCAACTATCAGATCAGAAATCCTAATCCAATAGCCATTTTCCTATTCATATAGTTTTAGATATGATAATTGATAAATATACTTCTAGTTTTGCAAATTATGCAAGTTTGCAGAGTAGCTGACTACAACAGTGCCTATTAACAAAAATTGTCTTAATCACCAAAAAAAATTTGCACATCCTTTTGTAGTCCTTCAATAATCCATATAATCGGTGCCTATCATTCAACTCAATTCTCTAGAGATGGATGCATGCAAACCAACACAGAGATGCTTCAAAGGTGATAATATTTATTTACAATCATGTCTTCATATTATCTTGATTTTAAAAAGGCCACATTGCAAAGAGATTGTTCACCTTGAAGCAACTCATTTCGCAACAACTTGCATTACTTTCATTTATGTACTGCTATATTTGGCTACCAAGAACATTTTAACTACCCAATAATAAGATCCATACAACATCTCAAACCTAACAACAAATGTATAGCATTTACTCCTAAGCCATTTCTAAGTTTTACGCCTAGCCTTAACTTTAAAATCCCTTATCCATAATCGTTTTTGTACACTCCACCTCAGTAGGCCCCCTCCTGGAACGTTGGCACTTGCTCTCGACATCATCAGACCTCCCATGCTTGGAATCCTGAACTTTCTTGTCTTTCCCTAACACACGTTCCCTGTCCTTTTCCCTCTATGATTGGCGATCTATGTCCTTCTTATTCAATCAGCTAAATGGATTACAAATTACCTTAAGGCTAACTTCAATGCCCACCATCATTCTGTCTTAGAAGCTATTCAATTATATAGTATTCTAATAATATAATCATTCTATTGTGGTAACCGTGTAATATTGACTGCAATGCTTTTTAGCACTTGATACTGCACAAGACAACTATAAACAAGCATGAGTGAGTTTAATTAACCGCAACAATGTTATAAAGGAGGTTTAATGTGCATCTAGATGTTCAAAAAATAGCCAGCATTATCTTTTATAAAAGAAATTATAAGGTAGCCTCAACAGATCCAACTTATATGAAAGATTGATAGTGGGGAGATAGCGAGCAGCATGGGATGCTTTGCAGTTGATGTTGCGAAGCAGAGCTTACTTGGGTGGGAAATTTGAATGCAATAAAAACATGGTGGCATAGCTTGTGTAGGGGAGAAGCTGAATCTTGTAAATGCAATTGAAGGTGAGGAGCTTTGGTGCAGCATAAAATTGTTTTGTGGCTAGGAATTCAAACTGAGTTTGACTGTGAGAAGTTGATTTCGGAAGAACGCTGTAGCGTTGCAACAAGCAAATGGTGAAAAGATTGCTTTAGTTATATTTCTCGTCGGACTTGCTTTACCAAAGAATGTGTTTTGTTTAGTTTCACTTAAAAAAAAAAAAAGAATGCATCTGTGACAAAGAAAATCATGAACCAAACTAGTACGAAGTACGAAGGATTGAAAAAAATAAAGGTTTAGTTGGTGAAATGCTGTTAAAATGAAATCTTTAATGGAAATGGATGAAAGTTAAGTAGACTGTAATTCTTTTAAACATTTTTGAGATGCTTATGCTTTGTTGGGTAAATAATGTGATAGGACGTGGACAGAAATTGTTTCCTAACTGCATTTGACATGGAAATTGATGCGCTTCATGACTTGGTTTTCTTGATTTGTCAACAAATTGACATTTCTTATTACGATAATGAAAAGCAACTTGCATTATAAATTTTTGCCATCTAATTATGTATATCTTAATAGTAACAATAATAAACACAAAGCCGCTATAATGATAAATAATAAATGATTTGTAGCAAACTTGCAAATGAAACTTCTTAATAGAAAAGTAATATGTTGTTCTTCCTAGAAAACTATATATATAGATATTGTTTCATAACCAGAATGCCACATTTCATAGGATAGAACACCTATGGCCTTTAGCTTTACGCTTCTTGATCTCCTCATATTGCCTTCTAGTCACATTCAGATCCTCTTTGAGCTTCCGAATCTCCTCACCCTGTGATTCTCGGCCAAGCCTTTCATCTCGTAATTTAGCCTCCAATTGTTCAACTTGCTCTTTCAAAAACCTCTCCATATATGATTTCCCCGTTTCGTCTACCTATATGTAACCAAAAACAAGATCATTGTGTCAGGGCATGGATACAATTGAGAAGAAGCTCAATATAATTGATAAACCATTTAAATGACAAAAAATAAGACTCCACAACTTAACTCATAGTAGCATTAAGACTAGTACAGCTATCAACTTTAGAAACAAAAAAAAAAAAGCAATAGAACTTAAGTGCTTAAATGAGCTTACTCTCTCAGTTAAATGTTTTTTGACATCATCAGATAACTTCTCTTTGGAACATCCTTCTTTAGCTTCCTATTAAAAGAAATACCCAACATGAATTATAAAACCTTTACATCTACCACAGCTGTCGATTGTAAAGTATGATGCAAGCCTTGTAAGGAGATGGCATACCTTGAGTTCAGCAAAAAACTTATTTGAATATGACTGTCCACCATTATCCACAATAACATATTCAACAAGAGAGAGCAGCTCCTTTACTTGTTTCTCTCTCTTGATCATATCCTTGGTGGTATTATCAAGCACGATTACTCTATTCTTGAAAGATTGGATGATGTTCTGCAAGAAAGTTATCGATGATGGAAAATAATTATACCAGATAAAAAAAAAAAGTTTAAAGATTTAAATTAACCAAATTCATTTAACTAGTTCAACTTTTGAATGACAAGATTTGTTTTAAACTATAGATAAGTCTATTTCCAATAACAAAATAAACTAAGATAATGAACATGCAGGGTGAGTAACAAAATCTTCACATGATATAACCAAATTTAGTGATGAAATAATTAAATTCACTTAGCTAGCATCAAACTTCAACTTATGAATAGCAAAGTTAATCATAACCAATAATAAACACATATTTCTAATACATGGATCAACCAAGATAGTAACCACATTTAGATTTAGAAAATGTGCTTGCAGCCAATGGAAAAAAATTATGTTTCTCTAATGTGACGTGGACTAATGACAAGGCAAGATACACCATAGTTTTAAAATGTGGGTTGGGTAAATCAGTTTGATCATCAAATTTAACTTTAACTAATTCAATTTCAAAAAGTAGTGTGCAAGCTAAATATACTGAAAGATAGGCATAGTTTGTGTGAACAATTGGAAACAAAAGTCATAATTTTGAATTGGTAACAATTGTTGCATGTATTAGCAAAACAAAATAAAACTACATAATTAGTTTAAAAATAACAAAAAAATATCAAAATAGCCCTTTAACTATTTAAGAGAACCATTTTAATTGCATACTATCTAATGTATCCAATTTAGTCCTTTGATTACTCCAATTTGATCTAAAATTAATCCTCGACTCCTCAAATCGGATGCATAAATAATCCAACAGATATAACTTTGGAGCATCAACAACTTCTTGGTCACATATAATACCAACATGTTACATTATAGTAAAACAAATTAATTTGCTTCCAAGACAATGGGTTAGAGCATGTTGCATAAACAATTAAATAATGTCTTGCTATTTTATGCAGCTTACCTTTGAAATTATCTATTGAAAAATTAATAAAACATATCACAATCATGGTGCGATTTTGATTTTACACTTAGCAATGCTTCTTGCCCTCAAGAAAGTCTACATACAACATGTTGAAGAAGGCAATTAATATTATCCAAAAAAAACTTAAACATTTGGCAATCAATACTATAAAAAGAAAGATACAAACCCTCATAGATTCTGGAAAATGGGTAATATAGTCCTTCAAGCTTTTCTTTTGAGATTCTAGGAAGTCTCCATGAGTGAGAACTATAATTATGTAGTCAACAATCTTATCCCCAAAAATTGATTTCATAATCTCAATGGAAACCTTCTCTTCTGTTATAAAGCGAGATTGAAGGGAGAATACCATGAGTACTACATGGATACCATCCTTGGCCAAATTAATGCATTTGACTATCTCCTCGCTTATTACCTCAGCACTAGTAGAAGAATCGAACAGCCCTACAAAGAAATTCATGACCAGAATTAAGTAAGTAGCATACTACCAATAATCTAATCAATACCAATAAAGAAAGGAATTTGAAAATTTTCTATAATATAATTTCTAGGTTAGAATAATAAGCAAAAAACCAATTAAATCGCTAAATACAGTGCCTCAATACAATGCCAATCGGCATGTAAATACATAACTTCAAATTATGATTTATGTAAACATGCACAAGAACCAGAGAATCCTATTGAAGCATACTTCATCCTCTAAATTTTAATCATCTTGAAGAATGGTAGAGGGAAACCTATCAAACTTGAACTTGATGCACAAGGGACTAACTACAAGCATTAGGTATTCGCATAAGAACAAAATTAAATATAAACTCACACTTCTCGTTTGCAGTAAGAATTTAATTAAAATTTCCACTTCAATGCTCAACATAATGGAATATATATATATATATATATATATATATATATATTGTTGCATGTTGAAAATGATTTTTAATATGAATTTGCTATTGGTTCGAGTAGGAAGAGGAGGCAGCTGGTGTAGTGTGAAGATGAGCGATTTAAGTAGAGTTGGAATCTTAGGATCTGTGCAGGATTTTCGAAAGAGAGGGACAAGACATCTCCACGCCATTTTGGAGAGCTGTAGATTGGATTTGAACGGGATTTTGTGACAAGAAATCGGAATGGGCAATGGATTTCAACAGAGGTTATTTTTTTTTTCTTTTTTTACCTGTGGAGGTCAACAACATTTATAATAGTCAATACGTAATATTTTTTTTATAGTCTGGCTCAGTCCTATGGATATTGTTTTCAACTTTTCATGAAAAATTATTGTTTTCAATTGATTTACTTAAATAAATAAATTAAATACAAAAACATGGTAGTAAGTCGGGAAATGAACCCAGTAAAAGAATCATACATTTCCCTCCACATGTGCGCAAGGATAAACCAAAATGTTCAATAAATAGCTTTAAGTGACTCATTTCAATTTCTTTTGGTTACCATGCTCAATTAACACAGAAATATATAAGTTCAATAACTTACCGCTTGCAAATACTGCCACACAAATTTATAAGAAATGTTGTGTCATATTTTTTTTATCTTTTTTTGTTATATGTCTATTTTAGAGTTATCAGTAACTCCGGTTTTTAAAAAATTTTATCCTCTAACAAGTGAGGCTTGCCTTCCTCATATATTTTTTAGTTTTCATTAATTATGCTTATGTGAATGCATTAAATATTTTCAGTATATTCATAATAATGTTATCCCATGCACTAAACTAAAATTTATAATTGTTATAAAAAAAGTAGACAAACTTCAAAGCATATGAAATCATTTTTTCACAAGGTAAATAAAATCAAACATTTTATGTATTAAGTTATGATATAATACATGTAATATTCTAAAATCAATCAAAGATTTAAAAATGTATATGCATTGTTTGAACTTAATGAATATTCATAGATAAACAAAGTGATAAACATTACCTGGTGTGTCTATAACATTGACAATACGACCATCATTCAGAATAGTTCCTCGTAGCTCAGAAGAACAAGTTACTGCCACTACGCCACCACCAGTAAGGAAGGCTTCCCTTTTAAGAATGCTATTTCCAGTTGCACTCTTGCCGCTACCAGTCCTCCCAACAATGACAATATTAATAGTATTTATTTCAGTCTTTAATTTCCAATCAATAATTGGATCGGCCTCCATCGTGTGATCTAAACAAAATGTAGAAAAAACTAGTAAATTGATCAAAAGATGAAAAGTTGAGGCTAGAATCTTGCATACTTAATGAACAAGCATAATTAAAGCATTTTTTTTACATCAATCCCCATTCTTACATACCGGTTTCCATTCTTTACAGGATTTGAGAAAAATTTACGCTAAATCATACAAACGGGATTTGAGTGCCAGATTTATAGTTCTCATAATTACATCATCGATTAATGCGAAATTAATGCTATAGCATGGTATACTAAGTTGAACATGTTTATAGTTTTTATAATTTAATTAAAGTAATTAAAACAATTCAAAACCGAATGCTGCTGTTAGAAGTAAATGGCCTGATTCGTTGAAATTTTAGATATTAAATTAACTTGAACTACTTTCAGGGAGGATGAAATCCAAATTTATAATTAAATCATCGATTTTAGCTCCGTGTAATCTAATCAAAACTATGCTTCATAAGAATAATATACTAATAATATTAAATTATGATTTATTATTAAATTCATATATTTCAGAAAGTCATTCTTTAAAATCTCTAGATAATATAACTAATCTTGATATGTTAGTTGAGAGTTTTGACTATCAACGAAAAAGTTTTAGGTTCAAGACTTATGTATATGATGTGTGTGTGAGATTGTCTTAATTGACTTAAATAACCAAAAAAAAAAAAAAATTTAAGTATATGTAATTAATTTTTCTTTATTTTACAAACTAAAATTAACATAAATTTATATAAGAATCTTCTAAGCATGCTAATATAAACTAAAGTGCCTCATGGTAGAATTTGTTATAATTAATTCATATGCCACAATTTATAAGATATTAAAGATGTGAGCTCTCATATTTGGAACAGTAAATGCATAAATTTGATATACTATTTGGGTCATCCATGGTATATTGGTATTTATGCATAAATTTGATATACTATTTGGGTCATCCATGGTATATTGGTATTTAAGAGTAAATCACACCTAAATCAAATTCATAATACAAAATCAATCACCTCGCTAATAAAATCACTTATGCTCTACAGAAGACAACAATTCATATTACTCAACACAACCAAATGCGTAAAGCACTCAAAAAAACCTACAGTTAACCAAAGTTGAAGGCCTTCAATTATACACCCGAAGCCGTCGAAGACCTCTCTGCTCTTTAGCTTATGCAAGCTCAATAGATGAACAAAAACACATACGGGAAAGAGAGAGAGACAGAGAGGGGCAAAAAAAGTTATCAGTCCGGGAGTTCTATTATATTAGCCTGTAAGAAGCTCGCCGGAGAGATGGCGACGCTTACACCCGTGATGAAGGAAATGGCGGGTGCCCACATTTACGCAGAGCTCGAAACAGGAACAAAAGCAGTCCTCTCTTTCTTAAATGCCCTTCTCCTCTCGAATCAGGCTCCATTGCTGATCTGTCTCTGCTTTCATGTACGCAGAGCTCAGCAGTTGTCAATGAAAACATGAAGCATGAAACGGACGACTATTTCCTTCCAAAACAAACTTTTTTTTTTCTTGCCGAAACTCCGATTCGCGACGGAATAAGCAGATAGGTAAAGAATTTCGTAACCGACGAGAAAACTGAGTTTAGCGAAAAAAAATTATGCTTAAGTTTTGATTACAAACAGGTGGACGTAACTGATTTCGGCTTATAAAGACGGAGAACTAGGCCTAAATCGTGTAATTGAGCAGATTAGAAGGGCGCAAAAGGGAGAAAGTGGTTACCTTTTGATCCGTCTGGATGGAACGTCGCAACAGAAGAACGGTGAGCTTCCGATCCGTCTGGATGGAACGTCGTTTAAGGGGCGAATTAGTTTCTTAGTTGCTGGTTGAAAACTCTTATCTACCCGAACTGCTGGAGAAGAGGAAAAGCCAACTGCTAATGAGCTGCAGGGGACTCATATTTGCACATTCCGCTCCTGAAAATGATTTCAATTTTGGCAACCTGAAGCTATTTAGTGCCTCAGGGTCGGCAGAGAAATTTTTAAATCGGGAAGAGGTAACCATTTTACACTGTATAATTCCGGAGAATGGAGCCCGCGCTCATAATCACGGAGAAGATGAATATAGTAAGCAAAGATGAATACAGCAAATTTTTAAGCTAAAGAGCATAGAGGGAAATAGATGCTTGCTGTATTCATCTTAATGAAAATATTACATCTGGGAAATTGATGGATACAGCAAGCAACTATAATTTTTCGGCTAAGGATGAATATTCAACTTTAAGTGCTTACTATAATTTTTCGGAGGAAAGATAAACGTTCAAATTTTTAAGATGTCTGATATAATTCTCATCTCAAAAATATTTGCCCTCAAGAAATTTTCAATTATAATTTTTCGGCTAAGCTTATTTACCTTTGGATTTATTTAGGCTTACTTCGGAATAGCTTTTGGTCAATATTTTTTTCCAATTTTCAAAAAAAAAATATTATAGAAAGCAATAAAAAAAATGTACTAAATGAAGCCTTACGTTTGACCTTATAACATATTATCTCAATAATAAATATTGAAAACAATAAAAATAGAGTATAGATGGTCTTAAATTTAACTTTTTTTAAGAAAAAATTTCAAATAGAGTTTTGAGTGCTTTTAGATTTAAGAATTTCGTTGAGCTTCATGTAATTTCAAATCAAATTTACTTTTGATATGCAATGACAAGCCTTTTAAATTCCTTGTATTACTTCCTAACCTCATTCGGCTCCTCTTTGAGCTTCTGAATCTCATACAACTGCTTTCGTGATTATCCGGCAAACCTTTCTGTTTCCAATCATGCTGCTTGCTCTTTAGCCAGCTGCTTCCCTAACCTCTTTATACATAACTTTCATTTTTTCTTCTACCTCTACGTAACCAAAAATATGAACATGATGTTGGGGTGTAGATCGCATGGAGAGGAGGGTCAAATTGATTGATAAATTATTTAAATGAGTTTATTTAAGCTTCAAATTACATATTTGTTTAATTTAGTCCTATGATTTCTTAAATATGATTAAAAATAGTCCCTTTGTTAAATTATTTTGGTAACGGTATAATTATTATATAATAATATAAATTTATTACTAAAAAACAAAAAAAATCCAAAAGTAATATTTTTTATAATTTTAAATTTAAACAAATTTTTAAATTTTATTCACATTTAATATAAATTTAATTTACATGTAAATTTGTAAATTTAATATAAATTATTATTAATATTTGTTATGTGCTTGTATATAATTTATATTTATATATTATTTATCATGAATATTGCATACAAATTTTTTCATAAAAAAATTCTCTTGAAAAGAATTCATCATGCACTCACATGAGAGAACTAGTTATTTAGTCCCACATCACATTGGGAGATGTAATGATGTTGTATGATTAATTAATACTTATTATATAATTTTAACTTCATAGCTAATTAATTAATATTTAATAAAATATTTTAAATCAAATTAAATAATTTAAATAAATTATGCATTGAACCAGTTGGCTCCTAAAAATTGTGACAAGTTCACTGGTTGAACAATCGGTTCCTACCGATTTGATGTTGGGCCGGTTTTTCATGAGGACTGAACCGACCACATGCTCGATTCACGGTTGAACATCTGGTCCAGTTTGGTTTTTTAAATCATAGTTTCTATGCCTTTGATATCGTATCATCCTAAACCATCTAATATAACTACTGGGAAAATCCTAACTAATAGTCTGAAACAATATTGACGCCACAACACTCAATATTTGCACACAGTCTCCATCATATACATGGATAGCCAACCAAAACAACTCTTCGTCCTCCCTATCATCTGCGCCATGCAAGAGACTTGCTACTTCCAACCTTGGATACTCATATATTAGAACTTAGTCGTGACCTTATATTTGGATCACCTCACTGACTCACCTCCCCTACGTTATCAATCATATCATTTGACACAAAATGCATACAACCATTGAGAAATGACTTCAATCTACCATTTGTTCTCATCTTCTCCAATTAAAGCATGATTGCATTCCATCCACATGAATGATAAAACAATGGCAAAGTACCTACCCACCATTAAATCTAATGTAGATGATATTACCACAACAAAAACACCACTGGATCTTAAAGACATCATTTTGTGCCTTAAACAATATCCCACCCACCCGCCAATCACTCAAGATTATAATTAAAAGTAATCCTGGACCCTTGTGCTTATAAAACTTCTACTCCCTCATATGCTATGAGGAAATAAATTTACTCATCGAGGCATCTTGTGATTCCCAATCGCTTATGCTCAATGAGGTTTCAATAGCCCTCATTACTACTAGGGACAAGGGTCATTGTGGACCGTTCCATCCCCATCAACACAAGTAGCCAATAGCATAGTATCTCCTAATGATCATTCCCTCCAAGGAGGTTCAACCCCCCCTCCATCCCTCATTTATTAAATCTATAAAAAAATAAGATAATCAGCCACCAAATACGAATATAGGCAACACCTCTCCTATAATGGTCAATCTCCCAAACAATTAAAACTCGTTCAATATGGCAGACTCGCTACTTTAGTCTATAAAAAGTTTTAGTACATATTTAACATGTTGTGCATGACTTACTCATCACATGCAAAATGAATCCACCACCATCTCTATGACCATATAGCAGCCTAACCCTTGCTTCAACATGAAAACTCTTGGAAACTTTTCCCAATTCTTGAGCTTCCACACCAAAACCACATCACATGGCCTCCACTTAAACAAAACCCACCATACTAATAATGTCAATGTATATTATCCTTCAAGCTATGTATAAACAAAACTTTAGCCAAAACAACTTCCAAAGGAACAACCTCAACTGTGTTTGAAAACTGATAATTATTTTGGATATTTCTTGGCTCTCTCCAAAATTTTAACTATCACTCTTCATAACATTAGTTATGCAATCACTTACCTCTATCAATAAATGTGCAAACCCCTTCTTCACTATCAATGTCTCAAATATCTATTCCACTTCCTAAAAGCCAATCTATAATGTAAAGTGTCAACCTCCACCTTATAGTTTATGCTTATTCAGATTGCATCAGAGCATCCTAGTGAAAGAAAGTCAAACACTGGATTGCACCTTCCTATGGAAGGCACTCATCTCCTAGTGCATTAAAATCATTGTAATCAAAGAGCTTTGATATGCAAATGTAATTGACCACTCCAAACCAAAATAATGTCAATCATAGTAGTAAGAAGGAAACAATAGTTTACGAAAGAAGAATGTTGAGGATAGAAGGGAGAATCAAGTGATGGAAACAAAAAGAATAGACGATAAATAGTAACCATGTAAAAGAAATTTAACAATTTATGTCTCATAATATTATGTAGTTGAACAAATATATACGTTATTTATTTTCAATATATAGGAATAATAATCTTTTATAATCATATGTTATTTACTAAATTATATTTATTCTCATTTGAATTGGTTTGAACATTATTCTAATCAAAGTAAGATTTGAACTGAATTTGATTATGGATTTTTAGCCCCAAAAATGCTAAAGGTTTCAATTTATTCCCAAATGAGCTCCATCCTAATTTCTGCTTCTCTTTCACATATAAGGGTCCCCTAAATGGCTACCCCATTTAACTACATTGTCAATGAATTCTCGATGTCATCCCTCTACACACTATAAACGCCACTTCTCATTCACAAGAGATGGTCGATTGGATGGAACTGTCATGTCTTGTTTCCCTGTCACTGGTTTGTCGCTTTCTCCCCTAAAATTCAAGCAATTGATGTTGTGGCCCTATGCCGTCAGTACAAACTCCCATGATGAACAATGAGTTAATTAAGAATGCAAGGGTTTGAACCTTAGTTTGAAGTGTGATTCGAGTAGTTTATATAGGCTTTGATTTCAAGTACAAGTTATCTCCCATTAAGACTAATTTCATATTTCTCTAGGAAAACAAAGAATAAGAAATTTATCCAATTATGTATATTATAATGCATATAAGATCAAATTTTCTATGTAGAATTGGACGTTTAATGAATACTAAAATTAACTAAGCTTTCTTATATATGTAATTTAAAAAATAAAATAAAAAATGCATGAAATTAAATAAATGCATGGCCAATAAACTTTTAAACCATGATGATTCAATCAAATTTTCTTTAAAATAGAAAAAGATAAGAGCTTAAAGACAAGATGAAAAGAACCACTAAGAGACCTTTAATTTCTTTTTCCCCTGGAGGTAGTTACAAGCATTTCGATGAAGAGCATTTTGATATGTTGATGAGTCATACTTTGCATAAAAAAAGATCACATTTAATATTTATATCAGACAAAAAAGCTCCACGTCTAAGAGTATTGTAATCATTTGATTGGTTAAATGGTGGAGAAACAAGCTGAATCTTCTTTGAAATTTTCCCCTTTGCTTTAATGGATGAATCTATGTAGACTTTATTCCAAAAAAATTGATAGTGTTAAGTATCTAAATCAGACAATTAGATTTATTATGATCGTTCAAATTAATGATGATGGCAATCATAATTTAGGGTGTAATTTATTTAGTATCATTATTTTCTACTAAAAGAGCTTCATTAAAGCCAATCAAACATAAGATAAATCTTGACACGATCCAATGATGTGAAAGTTAAAGGACTATCATCGAGCTTAACTTTGAATGGGAAAAGTTTAGCGTAGCATGAGCTTTGTTGTCAACAATCAAATTTTTGGTATAAATAAGAGCGATTTTTAGGAGCACTTAAATTATCAAGAAAATTAAATTTATAGAGATGAAGATTATTTCCTATGGATAAAGAAAAAAGTCAACCTACACCAAAATGTTGATCATCAAAATGAAATGCTTCTAATATATAACTGCCAAACTCTAGCATAATGCTTAGTTGCTAACATTGTATAATGTGATTATATAAAATTATACCCCAAATAAACTACCTTGTGAAGTGGGGCTAAAAAATGAACTCATTAAAATTAGTAAACAGATGTCAGTGACTCATTTCAATTAGTTTTGGTTGGCATGCTTAATTAGCACAGACATATATAAATCGCAAATGGTTGGCTCCTTGGAAGTTAAATCGACAACTTTTGGTACATAAAAAATTGGGTATTTCATTCAAGGCATGTTGATCTAGGGCAGTTCAAGAAGTACATTACTCTCAGTATAAGGTCTTAGACCTTACCATGAATATCAATCATATTAACGAGAATTATTTGTACCATGAATATCTACTTGATAGTGACAGTAATAGAAACAAAGCAACAATAATGATAAATGACAAGTAGTTTGTAGCAAGCTTGCAAACGAAATTGTTTAATAGCAAGGGCTATGTTCTTCTTCCATAGAAAACTACATATAAATTGTTTCATAACCAAGATACCACATTTCATAGGAAAAAACACTTTTTGCCTTTAGCATTACGCTTCTTAAACTCCTCAATTTTCTTCGTAATATCATTGAGTTCCTCTTTGAGCTTCCGAATCTTCTCATCCTTCAGTGATAATCGGCCAAGCCTTTCAGCCTCCAACTGAGCAGCTCGCTCTTCAGCTTCCAACTGAGCAGCTCGCTCTTTAGCTTCCAACTCAACAGCTCGTTCTTTAGCCTATATGTAACCAAAAATAAGGTCATTGTGTTAGGGCATATATTGAATTGAGAAAAAGGTCAATATAAAATATGAATTATTTAAATGAGTTTATTAAGTTTTTAATTAAATGTTTTTTTATTTAGTTTTGTGATAGCTTAAATATGATTTAAAATAGTCCCTCTGCTACATTATTTTGGATCATATATGAGGAGCCAAGATACTATTTTAGATCAAATTTGAGTAGTCAAATGACTAATTTGAACTCATTAAGTAGTTTGGGACTTACTAATCTAGGAACCATTTTGGATTTTTTTCTCGGGCAAAATCTATGCAAATATTCAAGTAAACAATGAAAATGAGATAATACTATATATATATATATATACTTATTGATTTTATAAATTTTTTGGTAACACCGATATTAGGTCACATCTATTTCAAGAATCGGTATGGACAAGATATCAGTTAATATTTTTTTTATCAAAATTTTGTTCAATTAATTTGAGATCAATTGGACTCTATTTTTTATGTATTCCAAGTGGACAGATAAGATAAAATGTCTTTTATTATTATTGATATATCATCAAAATATTATGTTGATCAGCACTAATCTCGAATCAACATCAATATTAAAAACTTCAAAAATTAAATCGGAGATCATCCAAACTTTTAGTCGAACTGAACGTCTCGAAAATACAAACCCAAAGAGAGAGAGAGAGAGAGAGAGAGAGAGAGAGAGAGAGTCAAGCAATAGGAGAAGAGAATGAAGCAAGAAGAGAAGGAAGAAAATGAAGAGAAAGAAGTGAGCTCTTTTGCCACCAAATTCCTCCTCGATCACCGCTGGACTTTTGCTTGTCGCCAGATTTTTACCCAACGTCGGGGAACTTTCGAGCCGTTGACGAACTTCTGTCATTCTTCGGACTTCTACCAGATATCAAACTTCCACCCGGTGCTTGATCCACACACACACACACTTTACTAGAAAGCTAGCTGATATCAAACTTCCACACACACACACACACACACACAAAATAAAATAAGAGCAAGAGCATCTAATGTTTTACTATGATATAAAAGTATAGTGCATAAATACGAAAAAAATAGAAGTTAAAAGAGACAACATAATTTTACATTGTTGCATGCATGAACATTCACAGCGGTAGAGAGATATAGAGTTTAATATACTAGCTTTGTACGAAGATCCAGCATGCGCACAAATAAGGGAGGGAGGTGCGACAATCATGAGAGACATTGAAATTTTTACGTTGAAAATCCTGAGAATAGAAAAAAAGCACGAGGCTTTTGCCTAATTCAAATGATTCTCCTAATGTTTGTTGTTGATTATAAATGTTGCCCTTCCTCGAGGGAAGATATTGGCTCAATTTAGTGAATATACAATATACAAAGCAAATCACATGATTGTTAGAAGAATCCAATAACATGAGAGTTGTTCTTAAGTGAAAATTGATTTATTTGTTTGGTTGATAGAACCATAGTCAGACGACAGAGGTTAGGGATCATGTCGGACAACTGAGATCGAAGGTACCATAGTTAATGAGTAGCGTAGGCTAGGAGGACCATAGTTAGCTAGTGATAGAGGTTGGAGGGATCATGATCAAACGATGGAGGTCAGAAGGTGTCACGACCCAACCCGACCGGGACGGATCCCGCTCGCATTAGGTCGTGGCCAGACTCAATCTGACTGAACTGATTCCAGGATCTGGCTTTGAAATTTGTTTCAGAACTTTCTTCTAAGCATTATACACAGAAACAGACACACAGAGCTACTATAACATCAAAATACAGCGGAACAGATCAACTATCTTTTCTTCCTCAAAAGAATCATATACAAATACAGCTCATGGCTTTCAGACAGAAGGAAAAGCATAACAGAAAAGCCATGACTGTACAAAAATCAAAAGTACAAAATACCTATAACGGATCAAACTCTGAACTCCTAGTCCAAGACTTCCTTCCCTTTCCCAGAACCTGAAAACCACGCAGAAAACAAGGATGAGCTACAACAGCTCAGCAAGACATCAAACCTCCAATCAAAATCCTCAGAATCCACATCAAACACATCAGACAAATTCCGTACAGAAAT